CCTAAGACCCACACTCTCACCAGCCAAGGCCCTTATCGTATAAAGCAATGCCACTAGATTTTAATTACAATTCAACCTCCACATAAAAATTGCACCTTGTGGATATACATATGAATGAGTTTAGTGTGAGAAATGAACAATTATGTGGTTGAAGAATATAATTAACATTCGTGTCTATCATCAAGACTCATACTCTTACACTCGGGGCATGCATAAACTTGAACACCGTTTGAATGCACGTATTTAAATTATAATTAAATTATTTGAGCCACACTTATATATTACGAATTTTTACTTTGATGTGAGTTTCACAATTTTCAATTAATTCAAATTAACTCAATGCTACTATTAAGCCAGCTACAAATCAATCCTGTCACGCAAACAGATCTCATAATCGACTGATACACTCCAGTAGGGAAACATTGTATAGCTCTACTCTCAATCCAAATTGTCCTAAACAAGAACTTACAGCATGTGTATGTAGCGTTAAGGTGTGTATATGGCACACCTACTTATGATATTACCCTTCCTACATAAAGTTACAAAATTTAAACCACCATGCTCAGAAAATGTCTAACATTCATAACTCCATGAGTGTATTTGAGCTTTTTTCTCGTTAAATCATTGCAGTCATAACGCAGCTTATGTTATATAAAAATAATCTTGACTGCTCATTTGTATATGAGAATTTGACAAGATTCGCAACTATGAGTCCAACAAAAACACCAACTAGGTATGAATATGTGCTTACTTATCCATCAAAGTTCACTGATATTTTACAAACCTCTTTACATTCAACTGCGCAGACAATTTTCTAGAACTACTTTCAAGGGAATAAAACTAGTTTTATTTAGCCTCTAGGAAGTAAAAATCAGCTGTCGTCAACTCAGTTGTAAATTCCGACTGTAAACAATTGCATATATCAAAAGTATGTATCGATTGTAGTTAATTGTTGCCTTATTTACAGTTCCCTTACAGTTAGGGGATAAAACGAGTTTTTAGCCTCTATGAATTAAAAATCAGCTGTTGTCAACTCAGTTGTAAATTCCGGCTATAAACAATTGCATGTATCAAAAGTATGTATTGTAGTTAATTGTTGCCTTATTTACAGTTCCTTACAGTTACAGTAGCCTTGTTTTTATAGTTCGACATATCGATAGCAAAATGTACACTAACACAATCGTAATAGACGAAACGATTGAATCACTTACTAAAATTGCTTGTTTCCATTAGCAAATTAAATTTAAAACAAGGTAGAAGTAGTTTTGAGAGACTTAAATTAAAACTATTTCAGTTTTGGAAATTATTTTGTTTAAATAATGGTGCAAAATGACGAAAAATATAGTTCTTAACACGGGCAAAAGGTGTCTTTTCAACCCTTGCTCATTTTCCGTTGTGCTCGGGTCGAAAAGAGTCACTTTACGTCATAATGATGAAATTTACTATTTCGAACCTTAAAATTGTCCTCAATGATACTTTACACTATACAAATACACGTAATTTGCTTGAATTTGTAATGGTGAGTAACTCGATTAGTAAATTACAAAACGTCCACAATATTTTGCGAATTTCAATCGAATTTGTGTTTCACTACTATTCCATTCTGTGGGTTGTTTTATCGTGATTTTCCAGCTTCAACTGGCTTTGTGAGTTATTCTTTTTTTCTTGCTCACCTGTGGATAAACTCCAGGGTCCAGAATGTCGAGGAACCTGTGTTTTAGCGAATTTCCCTATAGGGAAGTAGTTATTACCGTAGGTGGCACGGTGAGACCTAGACCCCGGACCGATTTACTTTTTCATTTTGATGTCCCCAGAGGCCAAAAACACCATTCGTTAAAATTTGTATATATGTATATAGACTTATATATATATACAGGGTGTCCCGGAACTCTTTACCAATATTTTAGGGCATTGTTCCTGGGTAAGAAACATATCTAAATATCATATTTAAATTGTCCGGAAGTCCTTAGTTACTCAGATAGCCACCATTTTGTTTTTTTCACTTATAAATTTTTTTCTGAAAATTGGTTAAACATACGAAGTTGAAACTTTGCACAAACATTTATGACAACTAGACAAAGCTACAAAAAAATTATGAAGATTTTTAAAATTCATAAAACAAAATGGCGGCTGTTTAAAATTTCTTTTCTTAAATTACCGGTACTCGAAAACCATTGATTTTAAAAAAATTTTACAAGAATAACTTTTTTAAGGCAATTTTATTACAAATCGATCGACCCCTTAATATTTCAGATCGGACGAGTATTAAATGAGATATGGCAGTTTTAGTGATACGTGACCGCTTTCAGCATGCGCTGCAACTAACCTCCAGCGGTCACGTATCACTAAAACTGCCATATCTAAGTTAATACGCGTCCGATCTTAAAGATTAAGGTGTCGATCGATTTGTAATAAAATTGCCTTAAAAAAGTTGTTGTTGTAAAGTTTTTGTAAAATCAACGGTTTTCGAGTAATTTAAGATACAAAACTTTAAACAGCCGCCATTGTTTAACCATTCTTTAGAAAAAAATTAATAACTGAAAAAAAAACAAAATGGCGGCTGTGTGAGTAACTAAGGACTTCTGGACAGTTTAAATATGATATTTAGCTATGTTTCTTACCCAGGAGCAATGCCCTAAAATATTGGTAGAGAGTTCCGGGACACCCTGTATATATACGTCCGTGAACGCGATAACTTGAGTAATTTTTGTCCGGTTTTGATGAAATTTGGTTTAAAGGTGTAAAGCGGGATAAACTTGAATGAGTTCACGAACCAGCACGATCGGACCATGGGAACGGGGCTTTACGGGGGGTTTTATGGGGTAAAAATTGGTTTTTCTCACTTTTGACCCTCAAAACACAAAATTTCCCGATTTCTCTTTAGACCTTTTTAAAGAGCTTAAAAAAACAAATAATTTAGTATATAAAAGTATTTTTGTTTGATTATTAGTAACGAAGAAAATTAAAAAATTGTAAATTTAAAATTCCCATGTTATTCTTATGGAGAATAATGTCAAATCTTGTAGTTTGCTTGTTTATGGAGAATAATGTCAAATCTTGTAGTTTGCTTGTTTATGGATATATTTTGACCAAATTTGGCAAATTTATTTATTTTGTACTAAGCTATCAATATTTTACTCAAAAACACACTTTATTAGTTTCCTTGTAGCAGCAAACCTAGGTACTCATTAAACCTAATGTTATTAAAATATATTTAACTGAAAATCAATTCAGACAAATGGAAATTTGCTTAGTCGGCAGGTTTGCTGCGGCGGGGGTATTTTACTAACACGGCCACAAGAATCTCTTAAAGTTTCTCTTAAGGATTCGCCAGCACAAAAATACTAGTAAAACTCCCAATTTCTCTTCTTAGGAATCCACCAATATTCGCACTCCTACAACCTTAAACTTCTGCAAACCCTGACCGTCACGGGACCCGGGCAAGACCTTCCTTCTCCAGACAAAACACAAGCCTCTCCCAGGCGGAAGTCCCGTGGCCGATTGTCCACGGATCTCCTCAGATGGCCTCGTCGATCAGGAAGATGCTCCAGGATCAGTCAGCCTTGTCGGTTTTCCGACTCAGGATATAAGCGTGGAGGCGGCGAGGGCGGAGGCAGATCAACATGAGTCTTCAGAGTGTTGTAGCGTTGGTGGTGTTAGTGGTCTTCGGGGCGGCCGTACTGGCGGTGCCAGCGCCTGATAAGAGTCGTAAGTTTCAAATTTTAGTAGTTTCAGGTTTTGGCAGGGGTGAGTTTGATTGTATGGAAGAGTTTGTTGCATTGTAGACCAGAAAAAAAGGTTGACATAGTTATTTTCCTTCCGTCGAATAACATTGTTTTGTGCTTTATGAAATTCGAGTATTTTATTTTTAAAAGCAGATTTCAGGAGATGTCAATAGTATTTTTTTAATGCAGGTTAAGTGTTTAAGTTTGTCACATGTACCAAAGACTATCTGCGAGATTCATCGAGCACTTTAAATAGTCGATTATATGTATAAACTCACTTTTAATCGTGTTTTGAACATTATTTTTGCTACACTACAAAGATGTATTATTTATTAATTAAAAAGGACATTGGATATTACTTTTATCACAGTTAGGAACATAACAAAACTCATAGCATATTTTAATATTTACTTTGGTTGTACAGTGTCGGTTGTTTAAAATTAAAACAGTTGACAGAACAATAACAAATATTGTTTACGTCGGCAAAATCCAAATAAGATTGTAAACATTACTTTCGCATAGTAAACATTTTTTTTGCGTAGTAAACAATTTAATGATGAATTTTCGCAAGTGATAAACATGTAAAAAAACAGGTAATTTCACTGTAGTGTAGCGAAAATTGTATTTTGACAATAAACTTGATTTATTACGTTGACTTTTTAATACGCTTTTATAAAACTTCATATGCCTTCAGAAGAACCATTTCTAACCCAAAATAGCACGAAATACCATGAAAATATCATACAGTTGCTTTAGTTTTACTTTAGTTTATGCGTTAACTTTGCAATACCTTTGAAAGATTTGTAGATATACCTACTCGTATAAAATGTAACGTAGGTATAAAAGAATAGTTTAATTTTCAGTAGTGTTAGGCTATATTTTTAAATGATTGTGTAATTGGTTTTTACAAAATTAAAATTAAGTAACATATTGGAAAAATTGTCTCCCCAATTGTACTATTATGCCTAAAGCTACAAAATACACTAAAATTCTATATCTCATCTATAAGGGAATTTAATAAAGTTTTAATCCATTTTGACCATTTTGTAGGCCTACAAATACAGAATGTTTTTTGCATGTAAATAAGAAAGGTTAATAATTGACTACAACTGTATTATGATTTACTACAAGAATGTGTTTCCCAGCTGACGACAAGGCAGAGAAGTACTCGGTACGCAGCTGGTTTGGTGGCGTATCCCATCACGGCCACAGAAAGCCCGGGAAGTACTACCCAGGTTATGGCGGGTACGAGGGTGGCCGCCCCCAGGGTGGGTGGGGTGGGGCTGGCGCAGCGAGCTCAGCGTCTGCCTCCGCATCAACAGCCAGCGCGGGGGGCGGCGGCCCACATGGAGGCGGCTCTCACAGGTGAGCAGGAGTTAGTTCTTAATGACTAAGGCTACTCTAAGTATTGCATTATCTCTAGTAGAACCTTGATAGCAAGACTCTCATGGGGATTATAAAATAAGACTTGTTATCAAGGTTGTCTCCTTATCGAGGTTTGCAATAACATGTGGTTAGGGGTATAAATTCTAGGGGATCTAAAAATGACGCTTGTTATCAAGGGTGACTTGTTATTGAGGGTCTTGTTATCGAGGTTCCACTGTATTATTGTTATGGTGATTTGTAAACCCTCGACTAGCAGTCAGTATAGCAATTAACAACTAATCTAACATTTTAGCATCGTGAATGTACAGTTTGTGATAGTCTGCTGGTGACTTATTGTATAACTTTGGTGATTTTATTTTTTTAACTTTGATGAACTTTGGTGACTTGGCCAGGGGAGGGTTTTTGTTATTTTCTGGAAAGTTGCATAAACCATAAGTGCTCAAGTTTAGTAAAGTTGAAGTATGATTGTTATGTACAAAATCAATCAATAAGATGGGGACGCCACCTAGGTACATTAGAGGTTAATGGTGTTTTTATATACACTCGATTTTAAGTGATTGCGGCATATACCACAGAAAACGTACTACTATAACCCAGAATGCCAACCGCATGGTAAAAAGCATTAAGCGTTTTGAGAGAGCTTTGCCTGTCAATTCGTAGGCAGCGCCACCAGCGTTGCCATGCAATAGCATAGCAACGCTGGTGGCGCTGCCTACGAATTGACAGGCAAAGCTCTCTCAAAACGCTTAATGCTTTTTACCATGCGGTTGGCATTCTGGGTTATAGTAGTACGTTTTCTGTGCATATACTCATCTCATTTTTGTAGATACAGTGATCAAACCCGTGACTCTCCATATTGTAGTCAGAGACGCTAACCTCTAGTCGAACAACTAAGCTTAACCTAATTTACAGCATAGTAAGGTATTGTTAATATTATCAAACTAATTAATAAAATGGATTATTTTAATTTGTGGATCAACCATTCATTATTGGGTTTCATAACTAAGTGTGTTTTTGAGTTAAAACACTGGCTATTACTTGATCCATAGTAAACTTCAAAGTATAAAAAGTAAAGTTTGTAAATAATGCTTTTTAAATGTGCTCTTTAGAAAGGGGACGGTTTATAGATGGGCATATGCTAGGTGTAGTCCAGCAAAAACAGTTGACTATACATATTTGAAGGTTATACTTGGCTTTGTGTGAAGAGAACGCTATTTGGTTGAATTTGTAGTTAATCTTACAAGAGTGGTTATACTCTTCATTTTCATTTCAAACCTTAGTTTTTAGTTACATTCTTATGTTTTATCATTTTTAGTATTACGTTTATATTATGGCACCTTATTATGTATAGAGATCTCAATTTTGTTAATTTACAATCCTGGTTATTTGTCTGATCGCTGTCTTTCTTTTATTTTTTTGGTTATTTTATCATGAAGGAAGCCCCAAACAGGCTTTGCCTCGGGGACCCTACATTTTCTCCCAATAAATTGCACAAAAAAAAAATTAAATTAAAATCATCTAGGTATAATTCTTAGGTTTCTTTATTATGTTAATATTGTTGTGAATAAGCCAGTGTTTTTTTTCCTCTTAGCCAGTCTGACACGTGGGACATTTAGTTTAAAAGAATATTATATCAATTTCTTTTTATTGTGTTGTACATTGTAATTTTAATTATTGTAATACTTGTATCACTGGGAGAAAATAAATATTCTTATTCTTATTATTTTCTTATTCATTTCATTTCATTTCAATATCTTTATTCAATAATTGTACATTGTACATTGAATAGTGTCAAATTCCTAACCTAATAAATACAGTTATAAGCTAAAATTACAATTTATATAATACTAAGAAACTACCAATAAATTCAGGTTAATTGAGGAAACACCTCTTTAATGGAGTAAGGAGCCATTTCTATGAGATAATTTTTTAAATTTATTTTTAAATTTGATGTTGCCAATGGGTTTTAACTAAATAACCAATAATTTATTTTACTAAATTTGATAAACGGGCTGGGATGGCAGATATAAAGTTATTTATGGCACAGTAATGACAGAAAAAAATGTTGAATTTGATTTTACTGAACGTTTTTAAAATTTGGTTTTGATAATTCGATACCTGGGAGTTGATTGAATGTTGCTATTGCATTTATTTGATACTTGTTGCTTGGTTGGACATTGCTACTTCTGTATTTGAAGTCAATATTAAAACTAAGGATTAACCAGTCATCTCATCCATTACTTGATCGTCAACTGATAACTCATGTTTCTGTTGTTCCAGCAACTCCAACTCCCACAGCAATAGTCACTCCGCCACTCTAGGCGCTGGTCCGTTCTACGGCAGCCTCAGCAGTAGTCAGGCCGGGGCGTCAGCCAGTGCTGGGGCAGGATCAGGGTCGTACCACCGCAAACCCAAGCCTAAACCCCAACACTACAGCCATGAGTAAGTTGCTAAATATGGTCCTGGTTACCAAGCTTTGCTGTGAAGGAGATTTTTCCTCCCGCAGTATAATCAGTCTTACCAATATAAAATACCGTGACCTGGTGGTTAGGAACCCACCTTGTGTTTTGGTTCATCTTTCTAGAAAAACAAGACAGGAGCCTCTTGTTTAGGTCTTCCATTTTCGTTGATAATTGATATAAAAGGGAGTTTTAAGTAAAGTTTGCAAGTAACCATTCTCTCTTCTCCAACAAATAAGAGTATTTTTTTAAATGTAGAAGAATCGAATTTTGCTTATTTTAAACATACCAGTCGGGTTAAAACTCGTTGGTTGATCCAGTTTCCTTTGCTTATACATTCCAGTGGAGTATCTGTATCAGATTAATTTAGGAAAAAATAAATCACTTGATTACCCCTTAAAATACCGTACTACTTCAACGAAGGGGTTACGTTTGGTTCTGCCACACAGTTGCATAAACTTGGGTTTATTTTAGGCGCTTGCATTAGAATAAAACATTACAGTTAACTCTTACTAACGTTAACACATTTTAATAGCAACTTGTTTTCAGGTACTACGACTACTAGGACGGCGTTCAACGACAAAAAACCTACTCTCGTGACTTATAGTACAAGTTCATTCGCCTGATTTGTGTAGTGTGATATTTTTATTTATGTATTTATTTATTGTTATTAATTTGTTTAAATTATTTATGTAACTTATTTATAGTTTTGAAAATATTAATGTAAGGTGTTCTTGTGAGTAAATTACTTACGATTTTACTTTGAGTGATTTTTGTCTAGTGTCCTTTTCTAGTGTTAATGCAAGTCAACATCGGATAGAGCAAACAAGTTATAAAAAAAACTATTTTTCAGAAACAGGAGTACAAAATCTTTCTAAAAGTCCCTTTTGGAATAAATCTTAACGGGGGTATTTTTCTTAAAAAATTTTAAATATTAGCGAAAGTTTAAATAACTATAGAAGATTTCAACTAACCAAACATATTTTACACTACAAAAAGTACTTCTATAATACAAAACTAGATTTATAAAAAAATAATATGAATGAGTTCGTAAAAAAGTACGCTAAAATAAACTCTTATTTTAAACAATACATATTCACCGTTGTATTTGTTTTGTACACAGTAGTTTTCACAAAAAATTAATGCTGGCAAAACCTTGTCCATGTAAAGGTACGGTGTGTGCATTTCAGTATCCAAGTAATATTATAGGATAAAAAAGTTCTCATGGTTCCGGCATTTGCCTTCGTAGTAGCTGACCAATAAACCAGGCAATATATACCCAATTATAATTTTTCTTTAATATTAATTTTTACTACATTTAAGATACCAACTCTTGTATAACTAGCCACCCATTCAATCCCCAACAGTTTGCCCATCCAAACCATAGTAGCCTGATGGACATTTACATGCTAGCTAGGTACCCTGATACACCCTTCAATAAATTCGCATTTTTTCAAGACTATATGCTTCCTTAAAAATGCGAAATGCTATGGTGTCATACACCTACAGCTGGGCTTATTTTCAAACATCTTCTAGGATCGAACCGTCGACCTTCGGTTATATCAGACCGCTTGGCGTGGCCAGAACGGAAGCCTCCATGGTCATTTACGCAATGTTCACCACATTCCTCCATGGTCCGGACAAGGGCGAACAGCTGTTATGCATCACTGACATCTACAGACATCCTCAGCTCTTACATCAAGTACCATGGGTGAAGTAATGTTTTGACAAAAACATTAATTTTGTTTAGGCCTAAACCGTGAGTGAACAATTTTCTAAAAACCATTGTTATTAAATAAATCTTTCTATATCTATATAAGAAGGAACTATGTATATATGTATGTACGTTATGGACTCCGAAACCGCTGGCCAGGATGTAATGCAACTTTCAGGCATTATTAAGCATATTTCAAGGATGGTTTGTGTGAAGTTTAGTGTGGATCCGTCAAAAGGGCTCTGTCCCAGAGGGTTTTAAGTGGGCCAATGTCAGACTTTTTGAACTACAATGTTTACAAATATACAGGGTGTTGAAAATGTCTGGAACCAACATTATATCTGGTGAGTGGTTAAAGAAAAACAACTGATATTTTTTATACGGATATACTATGGTTTTACCTATCTTTTGGTGCCTTATGGAATTTTTTACCACTTATAGGGAACGTCCCGTAGAGGATGCAGTAAAAAGTTTTAATGGAAGCCTATGGTAAATGATACATCATTTTAAAGGCCAATTTTTTCTGAGTAAGGAGCCACAAGTTTCATCTCAAAAGGACCATCCTAGCAAAAATGGTGACGGTTTGAAATTTAAAAACCCACTTATAGGGAACGTCCTGTGGAGGATGCAGTAAAAAGTTTTAATGGAAGCCTATGGTAAATGATACATCATTTTAAAGGCCATTTTTTTCTGAGTAAGGAGCCACAAGTTTCATCTCAAAAGGACCACCCTAGCAAAAATGGCGACTGTTTGAAATTTAAAATTCAATTATTTTCAAAAACTTCAAACAGTCACCATTTTCACTAGGGTGGTCCTTTTGAGATGAAACTTGTGGCTCCTTACTCAGAAAAAAATGGCCTTTTAAATGATGTATCATTTACCATAGGCTTCCATTAAAACTTTTTACTGCATCCTCCACAGGACGTTCCCTATAAGTGGTAAAAAATGTCATAAGGCACCAAAAGATAGGTAAAACCATAGTATATCCGTACACAAAATATCAGTTGTATTTCTTTAACCACTCACCAGATATAATGCTGGTTCCAGACATTTTCAACACCCTACTAGCTGTTACCCCGGCAACTGTTTTGTAGGTTGTAATAATCACATGCTGTATTAGTCACGATTTGAAATAGTGCCACAATAGTTCCACAGAGTGCAGCACAGAAAACTATTTTAGTTTTGAATAAGTCCAAATATATTAAACCCCAATCACAGCACACCTGTGCACTCAACGACGTTTAAATTCTCCAATGTTAAATATGTAACGCGCCGGGTAACTGCTAGTAGAATATACAAACGAAATAATTAATTGTTCCGATAATATGTCTTACAATACCTAGGTATTTCATAGACACTATTTTAATTAATAAAAATGCTCATTAGGTATTAAATCTTTATTAAATTAGGTATAGTAAATTGTAAAAATGAAAAGTAATATTACGTATTACAATACTGACATTATTATAATCCTGGTCACTACTGGATTTACTTTTATAAGTTAAATGTATGGTATAGGCCTATGATACTCAATGTTAGTTAGAGTTATATTGCAAATGAAAATTGTAAAATATATAACAACTGTCAGTTTTACCAAGAGGATTGACATATAAAGTTTCTACTTTGTCTGCCCCTTTAAATCTTGGAACTGATGTTGATGTCGGAACTCCTCAAAGTTGAAGGCTTCCTATCATTTACTCCCGTGTCTACTGTTCTCCTGGGTCTTTTACTTCTCCGTGGAGGTGACCGCGGCCGCCGTCGATGTGGACGTCGTGGAAGTAGAGGTGGAGCTGGAGGTACCGTTCAGAGGAGTGCCAGGAGTTGGCACCACCAGTAGTTTGGTTCTGCCTTGACGCTGTATGGGGTTGGTTGGTCCAGACCTCCCCTTCACCCTCAGGCTCGACTCCACCACGATCTCATCAAAGGCTGGGATAAATGCCGCTGGAACAACCGTTATAGATCAGAGTGGGAGTTAGTCAATAGGAATGCTATTGTGGATACTGATATACAGGGTGTCCATAAAAACGTTTCAGGACTTTGGGAAATGAATCCCCATACTAAAAGGAAGAAAAAGGTTTATGGGAAGGTATGTCCGAAAATGCATATTAACCCAGATATTCGCCATTTTGTTTTTTATACAAAAATATTATTATCTGTGAATTTTTTTATTCGATGATTATGAAATTTTGTAAAAATATTAACATACACAACACCTATAATAGAAAAAATAATAAAGTTGTTCCGATTGTAAATTTCAAAATGGCGGCCGTTTGAATTTTTCTAACTTAATAACTCAAAAACGGCTAATTCTATGAAAAAATGTCAAGAATATTTTTTTTTAATTTTTAATTTCTTATCAAACGATACCAAGATCAAAATGATCAGATGAAAGATAACTGAAATATAAAATTTGTGTGTAAAAATAAGGCAAAGTTAGTCGGGGAACCCTTAATTTTTGCCTTATTATTATTATTTTGTTGCCAGACATTTCCCAAAGTCCTGAAATGTTTTTTATGGACACCCTGTATATACACAAAGGTAAGCACGGTACGTGAATTGATGTTCAAAGGTCAGCAGTGTAATCTTGTGGCCAGAGAACTTACCTGCCATGCCACTATTCTATGACTCATGTGAAGTCAGTTGTTGTCAACACCGTTACGCCAAGGACGTTGGATGGCTTAGTGGGTGACATTCGACATGTTATTGCTATAGATAAAATATTATAATCTCTTGTATATCATCCTTATAGATCAGATTATGACAATTTTACGGTTAGTTATGTTTAGCTTAGTTAAGGACTATTTTGTTTACAATTTTTTATTTAATTATAATTACCTGATAAATTTACCTAATAAAACAAGCGTAACAGAATTCCACTATATATCTGTAAACTATTGCTTTCCCCTAGATTTATAACTAAGAAGTAGATCACAAACCGTGAAATTTCCCTAAAATAAAATGAAGTGGACTAAATTGGCCGATATGACACACCAACAATCGTTATGATTACGATAGGATGAGAAGCCTACTTACTCTTTCAAATTTAATTTAACTTAATGAATAAAAATGTATCGGTCAAATATCAAATTGTTCAGATACTGCATCATCAGATCAACACCCTCCTTAAGCTTAAATACTGTACTATCTATTAAAATCAAAATCCTCTTTGCATAAAGGAGATAAAAAGGTTAATGCCATCGTTCAAAGTTGAGGCGTATTCTGCTTGGTTTTCAACACTTTGAAAAAGACCTTGTATAGATGAATATTGATACTTACATTTGGACTACATTTACTACTTGGATCTACTTACATTTACTATTCTGCTTGGTTTTCAACACTTTGGAAAAGACCTTGTATAGATGAATATTGATACTCACATTTGTTGGGGCTGGAGGTAGGAGCCTGTGGGGCGGGGGCGGTGTAAGCTACGGAGGCAACACATAACAGCAGTAGTACAGCCCACATCGCCACTCACTCTGCAAAACACACAGACAGATACTGATAACACAAGGGGTCACTGTGACCTTCGCTGATAACATGTGTATCACTGTTTGGCGAAAATAACTGTGAACACGATTCATACGAACATTTATCGCCAATCCGTTGTTTTTGGTCAAAATGGGAGTGGATTGACTATGACGAAGGTAAAAGCACAGACAAGGAAAACGTATAAGGTAGGTAACCCAATTTGACGCCGTTTTAAATTAACGTAGGCCTACATCTTACTAACATTATAAATCTGAAAATTTGTGAGTTTGTGTGTGTGTGTGTGTGTTGCTCAATCACGCATAAACTACGGGACGGATTGGGCTGAAATTTGGCATGATGATAGCTCACATTCCCGATTAACATTAAAGCATATTCTTATCTCAAAAATCCTTTCGGGCTCCGCCCCAGTGGCTCTGTAGTTCCCCATGTTAATCTTATGTTTTTCATATTTAAAAGGAATTAATGCATCTTAACAGCTGTTTCAATCAAACAAGTTGGTT